TCTCACTGGATACTGAATGTGATGAGTTGAACTCTTCAGGGAATTCATTCTGGCCTCTAGGCACCTCGTGTGAACTTTGAGGAGATTTGGTGAAGTTGGATTTTTGGGTCAAAACCTGACTTTTTCGATGATGCCGGCTATGGAAACGTTGAAGTTTTGGGGCATTTTGTAAAAAATCAAAAAGTTTTCTTTTCTCACTGGATACTGAATGTGATGAGTTGAACTCTTCAGGGATTCAATTCTGGCCCTAGGCACCTCGTGTGAACTTTTGAGGAGATTTGGTGAAGTTGGATTTTTGGGTCAAAAACTGACTTTTTCGATGATGCCGGCTATGGAAAACGTTGAAGTTTTGGGGCATTTTGTAAAAAATCAAAAAGTTTTCTTTTCTCACTGGATACTGAATGTGATGAGTTGAACTCTTCAGGAATTCAATTCTGGCCTCTAGGCACCTCGTGTGAACTTTGAGGAGATTTGGTGAAGTTGGATTTTTGGGTCAAAAACTGACTTTTTCGATGATGCCGGCTATGGAAAACGTTGAAGTTTTGGGGCATTTTGTAAAAAATCAAAAATTTTCTTTTCTCACTGGATACTGAATGTGATGAGTTGAACTCTTCAGGGAATTCAATTCTGGCCTCTAGGCACCTCGTGTGAACTTTTGAGGAGATTTGGTGAAGTTGGATTTTTGGGTCAAAAACTGACTTTTTCGATGATGCCGGCTATGGAAAACGTTGAAGTTTTGGGGCATTTTGTAAAAATCAAAAAGTTTCTTTTCTCACTGGATACTGAATGTGATGAGTTGAACTCTTCAGGGAATTCAATTCTGGCCTCTAGGCACCTCGTGTGAACTTTTGAGGAGATTTGGTGAAGTTGGATTTTTGGGTCAAAAACTGACTTTTTCGATGATGCCGGCTATGGAAAACGTTGAAGTTTTGGGGGCATTTTGTAAAAAATCAAAAAGTTTTCTTTTCTCACTGGATACTGAATGTGATGAGTTGAACTCTTCAGGGAATTCAATTCTGGCCTCTAGGCACCTCGTGTGAACTTTTGAGGAGATTTGGTGAAGTTGGATTTTTGGGTCAAAAACTGACTTTTTCGATGATGCCGGCTATGGAAAACGTTGAAGTTTTGTGGGCATTTTGTAAAAATCAAAAAGTTTTCTTTTCTCACTGGATACTGAATGTGATGAGTTGAACTCTTCAGGGAATTCAATCTGGCCTCTAGGCACCTCGTGTGAACTTTTGAGGAGATTTGGTGAAGTTGGATTTTTGGGTCAAAAACTGACTTTTTCGATGATGCCGGCTATGGAAAACGTTGAAGTTTTGGGGGCATTTTGTAAAAAATCAAAAAGTTTTCTTTTCTCACTGGATACTGAATGTGATGAGTTGAACTCTTCAGGGAATTCAATTCTGGCCTCTAGGCACCTCGTGTGAACTTTTGAGGAGATTTGGTGAAGTTGGATTTTTGGGTCAAAAACTGACTTTTTCGATGATGCGGCTATGGAAAACGTTGAAGTTTTGGGGGCATTTTGTAAAAAATCAAAAAGTTTTCTTTTCTCACTGGATACTGAATGTGATGAGTTGAACTCTTCAGGGAATTCAATTCTGGCCTCTAGGCACCTCGTGTGAACTTTTGAGGAGATTTGGTGAAGTTGGATTTTTGGGTCAAAAACTGACTTTTTCGATGATGAAGCTGGGGCTATGGAAAACGTTGAAGTTTGGGGGCATTTTGTAAAAAATCAAAAAGTTTTCTTTTCTCACTGGATACTGAATGTGATGAGTTGAACTCTTCAGGGAATTCAATTCTGGCCTCTAGGCACCTCGTGTGAACTTTTGAGGAGATTTGGTGAAGTTGGATTTTTGGGTCAAAAACTGACTTTTTCGATGATGCCGGCTATGGAAAACGTTGAAGTTTTGGGGCATTTTGTAAAAAATCAAAAAGTTTCTTTTCTCACTGGATACTGAATGTGATGAGTTGAACTCTTCAGGGAATTCAATTCTGGCCTCTAGGCACCTCGTGTGTGAACTTTTGAGGAGATTTGGTGAAGTTGGATTTTTTGGGTCAAAAACTGACTTTTTCGATGATGCCGGCTATGGAAAACGTTGAAGTTTTGGGGGCATTTTGTAAAAAATCAAAAAGTTTTCTTTTCTCACTGGATACTGAATGTGATGAGTTGAACTCTTCAGGGAATTCAATTCTGGCCTCTAGGCACCTCGTGTGAACTTTTGAGCAGATTTGGTGAAGTTGGATTTTTGGGTCAAAAACTGACTTTTTCGATGATGCCGGCTATGGAAAAC